TGTAGATCTATCTATCTATCTATCTATCTATCTATCTATCTATCTATCTATCTATCCATCTACAGTGGGGGAAATAAGTATTTGAGCCCTTGCTGATTTTGCAGGTTTGCCCACTTACAAAGAATGTTTATTTTTCCTCATCAGATGGTTATCAACTTTTATAAATTCATATGATGTGATTTTTGTGGAATTTTCTTTGGGATTCTGGCTTTCACTGTTAGAATGTACATATGATTAAAGTTATAGATCGTTGCATTCTTTGTAAGTGGGCAAACCTGCAAAATCAGCAAGGGCTCAAATACTTATTTCCCCCACTGTAGATCCATGACAGAGTCTGTTCGAGCTAAACTTTCCTTTCGAAGTAGCTTCAGTCTGAGCGAAGAACCGGAGGATCCTCATCACCACGCTGTCAGTTTTGTATGCCGAGATTAATATTTCAAAATAAAATGTTTCTTTTAAATCCAGATTATTAAGACTTGGAGCACTTTTGAAAACTTTATTCTGCTGTCTGAATGTCTAATTTTCTCTCCAGAGACGCCTCGGGTATCTTACTTACCATTTTATGTTTCATGTCACAATAACTAATTCTAACCAGAGATGTATGAAGTACTGGAGTAGAAGTACAAGTACTATATATAAAAAATTTACTTGAGTAAAAGTAGAAGTGTTCTTTCAACTCCATACTTAAGTGGAAGTACAGAAGTACTCAGTTTTTTTGTACTTAAGTATTGCAAGTAGAAGTATTTCAAAAATGACCACTCAAGTACTCAAGAACATCACAGGAATATTTGTGGTCTATATCAACCAAACTAATCAAAACTGAGCTTTGCCCTCATTAAAAACAACATTATTTACTGTGAAGAAAAAAAAGCTGTGTATAGTTCAACAAAGAAATGATCAGATTTCAATATTTAAACTTTCAACCCTTTGGTTGGACGTTGATTTCCCACCTCTCTGACCTGAGCTGGACCAGGAAAGCTAAAGCTGGGACACACAGATCCTGACTAACTAACCAACCCCGTGACTGTTTATTGGTTCCTAACGTTCTCCGTGTGACCCTGAACCAGACCCAGAGAAGCTAACTGAGTTAGCATTAGCCATGACACCACCCTCTGTGCCAGGAAGAAGCCAAACTCACTAACACAGTTTAGCCCATTCTGAGAAGCCACACTGGAGCCTTTGTTGGGTTTCTCCACGTGTGAGACGCCTAATCTTTATCGAGGAGTCATCAATGTAGACATTTATTCTGATTTAAGGAGGATTCAGCCTGTCGAAAACAAGATAGGCAGACAGAAAAAGGCAGAAAACAGCAGAAAAAGGGCAGAAAAAATGTAGAAAAATAGCAGAAAGAGCCAGAAAAACTGTAGAAAAACAACAGAAAGAGACCAAAACAAGGCAGAAAACATAGATAGATAGATAGATAGATAGATAGATAGATAGATAGATAGATAGATAGATAGATAGATAGATAGATAGAT